TCAATTTCGAGAACTTCAAGGCATACTCCAAGGCTTTTCTCCTTCATTTGGTAAGTATCATCATCTTTCTTATGATTATTACACATCCTCCTACTCAAAATCATAGATTGCTTACACAAATTCCATCACATTAGTGTTAGGTCTTCGAATCTTCAAGCATCTCCCAAGTGTTCTTGAGTTGAACACTTCTTTTCTCCATCATCCATCTAATGAAATCACTCAAGGTGAGTTCATACCCCTATCTTTTCATGTTTTTCTTAAGTTTTAAGGGGGGGAATACAAGTTAAAACACCACCAACACAACTAAACTCATTTAACAGCCTTCATCAGAAAAGTTCAACTCCATTCACGGACTGTTTTGGTCAAATTAAACATTCTAGTTTTCAAAACTGTATTAGGTGCAAATAGTTCAAGTTCATACCTTTAAAATGACTATTTTCACATCTCCATACGATTTTTCGAAGATTTATGGTGATTTTTACAAAACTGCCTATCATTTCAAAAACAAATTCGGACCAGTCTGTGAATATGAACATTTTAACACAAGTTAAAGACTTCTAAAAATAATAATAAAAATTATGAATAAACTAGACGCATTTTATGAACTCTTAGAATTTACGGATTCAGTTTTCAACTTCGTATGATTTTTCTATGATTTTTCTAAAACAGTGCAGAAAGCTTAAAAACTAGTTAACAGCTTATAACTTTCATAACACTTTGTATTATGTTGAGAAAAGTGTATAACAATAAGTTCTAAATATTGAATGTAATTTCTTGTTAGTTTATCATCATAAACTGAAATTTAGTCATTCATGATAAGATTTTCATTCATTTCGAACACATATAATAAGCTATAATAAGCATAGTTTATGGATTCATAGCACTAATGTATTTTCATAAAAGAGTCCTTTTTCAGTACAAACGTTTTGGATAAACTATAATAGGTATAGTTTATGTATCATTTACATTTCATACTCATTTACCAAAGGTTTTCAGTTAAGTTCACGTAAATCTGTTAATGAATAAATTTGTGAGTCATTCGCTTCGAGTTACCTTCATGGTAATAAATCAAAAAGTCCTGTAAATTATAACCAGAGTCTCATGTAGGGAGAGCGTGATAGTTGTGTATAGATCTATATTGGGTTTGACAAACCCACACCTGAGCTGCATGCAACAGCTAGACCGGCAAGTCTGTGGTGACAAGTGTCATTTAACGTGCGACGCCTGAAGAACGTCGTGTTACGAGGCCATCTAAACTAGTCTTAGCATGGTTATAATAGCTCACATGTTGTATTAATGAATCATAAGATTTACGGGTTCTGTTTAAATTAGCGAGTTATGTCGATTTAACTCACATGAAATATCTTTAAGTATGGAAATATACTTGTTTTCGGTGCTGGGATTTAGGACCACCTAACTTTAAAAAGGGTTTTATGCCGATTTAAAATCGCTTTTATATCTTTAAGTATGGAAAAATCTTACTGTTTTTCGGGTGCTGGATTTAGGACCACCTAACTTAAAAAGGGTTTTATGCCGATTTAAAATCGCTTTTATATCTTTAAGTATGTAAATATACTTGTTTTCGGTCCTAGGATTTAGGACCACCTAACTTTAAAAAGGGTTTTATGCCGATTTAAAATCGCTTTTATATCTTTAAGTATGGAAATATACTTGTTTTCGGTCCTGGGATTTAGGACCACCTAACTTTAAAAAGGGTTTTATGCCGATTTAAATCGCTTTTATATTTAAGTATGGAAATAATTGTTTTCGGTCCTGGGATTTAGGACCACATAACTTTATAAGGAAAATATAGGATTTTCTTTGGAATCATATCTCTGTTAAAACTATATTTCATCTAGAATTGTTAGAGTTCAGCTATAATTGCTAAGTGTATATGATAGAGTTATATAAGAATTTAGTCACAATATACTTAGAATTGGTGGGCCCGCCTCATCTCTTGTTCCTTGTTTGGTTGTGGACCTAGGGCAGACCCATTATATTCAATGGTTTATTTAACTTAAATTTTGTACAACTTATATACGATGGGCGATTATAGAAGAAATCTATGGGTCTTTCTAGGGTTCATTATCGCATAACATAGAAGCATTCATTTCACTTAATAAAGAAAATATTGGATTTTCTGGAAACATACTTTGTCGCTTTTACAAGGAATACAGTTTCTTTCTCGAACAAAACTCTTATGAATTCACCAACTTAATTGTTGACACTTTTTCAAAACTACTTGTATTCTCAGGAAATCAGTGAAACAGGAAAACCAACATCATTTTGAGGATAGGACGATAAGTCGTCAAACGTTTCATTTTGTCATCATAATGTAATTGATTTTGAAACATGTAAACTTATCCCATGGTGTAACCTTTTCAATTATATTTATGATGGTTGTATTTACTTTGAGCACTATTATATTCATTGTTGTGATACTATACATGAAGTCCTCCACCCCCGGACGTTTCCGCCATCCTTGGTTTAGGGGTGTGACATACGCTGTGCATACTGGGTCAACTACTCGCAAATGTGTGTCATAAAACGCTCAGACGACGCGCAAATGCGTGTCAAGGAAGGCGTTGTCATAACGAGAGACGACACGCTTTTGCGCGTCGTCTATTTACGACGCGCATTTATGACACGCATTTACGACGCACAATTATGACACGCAGTGCGTATCAGGGAAGGCCATGTCATAAAGGAAGACGACACACATTTGTGCGTCGTTACCTTACGACGCGTGTGTTTATGACACGCAATGCGCATCAAGGAAGCCCCTATCATAAATGAAGATGACACACATTTGCGTGTCATAAACTTTAGTAATCATTTTCGATATGCATTTACGATGCGTCTTTACGATACTCATTTACACATAATACAAAAATATGTAAACAAATATATACCAAAACAATCAATTTATCGAATAGCATCATGTCAAAAAATTGTAATACATTGATATTAAGGGGATCTAATTGTACATTATTATTAAGAGGTTTTCCCTAACTATGTAACCTAATACTACATTCCTATTAAGGGACACCTTCTGCAATGTAATGCTATACAAACTAAAAAGATATACACAAAGATGATAAACATCAAATTCCAACTAAATAGAGTTGCATCTTGCCTTTCATAATTCTTTAAGACTAATGAACCCCTTCTTCGATAATTCTTGTGACCTGATCAAATAAAAGTCAAAAAATTATTATGCTAATATAATCATTAGAAGAATCAAACATGGAATGTTAGTTGTAAAATACGAAATTACCCTTTTCTCCATCCAAAGAATGTGGAACCTCACTTGAGATATGATATTTGATCCATGTGGTGTTCCAGGTTCCATTAAAGCCTGCTCTGCATTGAAAATATTTGCATAAGTATGTTTCGATAACAGATAACTTTATAATATTCAACCATTAAATGTAACAAAGTTAATGTTTTTTACTATACTATGTAGCTCGTTATATAAACTAGTAAAGAATGCTACAAAACATGGAAGAAATGTAGTCAGATTGTTAGAAGTTAGAAGTTATTCAAGTGGATAAAATTTACCAATAGTAGAGATTTTCAAGAATTCAAAGGTAAGGTTGACTAGTTAGCATATAATAGTGTTAACATGAATCTACACAGTGGAATAATGTGTCCATGCTAACTGATGTTTCCCATTTAAGGATCGGCCAACCACCAAAAGGGTGAGAGGATGTTTCTTACACCAATGTACCATCTACATACAAGGAAGAGCAAGAGAAGAAAAAGAAGAATATCATATGGTTAGTTACCTGATCTTCTTTGCACGTTGAGAATTTGGAATAAATACACTACAATATGAATTACCTAATATGAATTGACTGCTCCTTTGACGCTCAAAGGTTTGAATCTTATTGTGGAAGTAGCTTACACAATGCCAAAGCTTCCTCAAAGACTAGTTGTCGTATGAAGTGGAAGGATGTCTTCTCATACTGCTATTGTTGGTTCACCCCCAATGGACAATAAAAAAGAGTACAAATCAAAAGTTGAAAGTGTGTACAGATAAAAAAGAGTAGGATTCTTTAAAACTCACCGGGGATTGTAAATCTCATTACAGGTTCCATTATTAAGCGTGCTCAAGAAGTTCCATACTTCATGTTGCTCATCGATATTAGCAATAAACCAAAAGCTCATTCAAAAAAGCAATTTTTTTTCATATATAAAATTGACATATCATGATTTTGGAATTTAATAAATAATACTTTATATTTTTCCAATCAAAAAGCATAAAAGTTTCAGATATTTTTGAAAATTAACTGTTTTTATGTGTTGTTATATCATATTAGGTTTCACATGTAACTTTCCAAATTCACCATTTTGATATAACATGTCACAATGGTTAAATTGGAAAAATGTTTGTAACTTTTATGGTTTGACAGGAAAAATATAAAGTATAAGTGGTTTAATAGCAAAATTGGTCAAAATATAATGATTTTTTCAATATAAAGATAAATGTAGGAGCATACTCTGAAATATTTATCAAGTTGTATACATCGTTGGTGAACAAATGCATCTTCTGTGCTAGATAGAATATTCTTTTAGGGGGCAAATGTAATGTGTAATTAGGTCCTTAAGATGCCTGTGTAATCTTTCAAAATTTCTGTATCAGTTGATAAAATGGAAAAATAATATATAGAAATATTTGCTACAATAAGTATGAAATTTAAAGGGTAGTTAAAGAGATTAGTAATAACACCTTCTTTTTCTTTTTTGGTTTGTTTGATACTTCTGTCATGTCAAAGTGCAGCTGCTTTTCATATTCTCCAACAGATTCTGCTTCCATATTATTTGGTATCTGATATGCACCATGTAAAGAACTTTGTTCATCCTGAAAGGAATTCGTATCACCACTTGAAGCATCTGCTCTATTTGGTGCCTGATTCATCAAATAATCAAAAAGTCATAAACACATTCAATTACATTGAGCTAAAACGGTTTTGCATAAGGGAGCAACAATAGTCGACATGACTATCACTGTAACCCTAGCACCAGACTATCATCTCCCACTAGATGCCACATCAACAGTAAGAAATCTATTATTATTTCCATTATTAACAATCAGAAATAAATAATTTTACGTTTTACAGGCACGTGGAGTTACAGAAGGTGAGGAATCTGTTATGAACAAAGCTGAAGATGTAATCAGCAGCATGCTTTCAAAGGGTTTTATCCTGGGAAAAGATGTTGTTTCCAAAGCCAAATCATTCGATGAGAAAATAGGATTCACTGAGAAGGTGACCACAGGAACCTCCATGGTCAACTAAAAAGTCAAAGAGGTCGACCAGAAGCTTCAGGTTTCTGAAAAGGCCAAGTCAGGGTATGCAGCCACTGCTTCATGGGTGACAAACACTTTTAGTAAAGTGGCCAAATCAGCATCCGAAGTTGGACAGCAGACAAAGGAAAAAGATGACATGGCGTCAACTCAGCAGCCACCTAAGACTTCACAAGTAGAAGGTCTGATCCTTTAGTTTAATCCACCTTTCTTTGTGCACATAGAACTTCATATTAAGCTGCCCAATGTGAATTAGGATTCTAATTTTATTTCAGAAATCATTTAGATCCAAATTAAATTCAATGGTTATAATTTATAAAAAAAACTATCTATTGGAATATTGTTTCACCTTAATTAATTGGGCTCAAAGTGACTTCTCAAAAGCATTGTGAGAAACAAAAACAAAATTTTTAATCTTTTTTCTTTTTTTACAAAAAAATGATTTTTTTATTAAATTTGTGATTGAAATCGGACTTACTCTCTATATGTACTGATTTTAAGTCCATTGTAGCTTACCACAAGCCTAACTGTCATGCTTATGTCCTCCCTGCAGCATATCACATCGAAATTCAAATACTTGAATTATATGATAAATTAAATTAACCACACTTTATATTTTTCAAAAATGTAAAGGAATTATATACTGCTATTAATATTATTGGTAAAAGATTATCATTCATGGCATAATACCTGAGAAGATCAGAATAGAAGTTATGATGCTTGTTGACCTCATCTTTGGGAAGAGAAGCATAGTTTTACCCCAGCTTCTTACAGATATCATAAGGGTGAACATCTATGGAAATTTATATAACAACTGAGAACAAAAAAAAATAAAAAATTTTAGTGAAATTTTTTCAGTATACCTACAAAATCCAAATGCTTAGAGCTTCAAATATTTTATTTTAATTATTTTCATTGTTTTCGATCCAGTTCCAAAAAGAACCTGAAACAGAGATACAGGTTGTTGTTTATAACAAGTTGCCAACATATATAAAAACTAATAACAACAAAAAATGGAATTAAAGAATCAACCTCTGAATTTAAACTGGAATTACTCCCTCCAAAGATGTTATCCAATAAAGTTGGGAATTCAATTCCAATTTTTGATTCAATTTCCGGTTTAAAACAATATCAAACTTTGTCCTACCCTTGCATTTACAACTTTGCAACCAAATATTTACCAAACCAATTACTAGTACAGTCCTGTTGCAGTTTTTTCAATTCTTCTTCAATAACTTGCAGAACATGAGGTGGGATGTTATCCTTGTTTGGCTCAATTTTGTCTGTAAACTTATATGTAGTACATAATTTCAAGATTATGAGTTATTCTCTTCATACCACACTGGACAGATGGAAAAAAGATTAAAAAAAAAATCAATTTTTAGAACTAAATTGTACCAAACATCATACAAAAAGACACAAAACATATATGATATGGAGAAAGCCATATTGCGTACCAAATGCATAGGAGGTCACTGGATTATACTCGTTTCAATCAATATTATCTCCATCGGCGTACCAAGAAATTTCGTCAAATTAGATATTATGTCACCGATATCAACAAATTAGATATTATGTCACCAACGTTTTCTCAAAACCCTAACTCACCTGAAATTGAGATTAGGTATAGATCTAAATTCAATTTTAGATCCATCAATAAATCAAATTACCTCAATGGCCGAAACCGAATCGTTACAGAAATCCTATCACATCCTCCCAGTCTCGACATACTATCAATCGGCTCTCCAATAAGCTCATCCGCAGACGGAAAACCGACCGGTGACCGGCCTCCCTAACCTCCTTTGGAATACATCGAATCCGACCTAGCCACACCAGGGGTAATGGATCTGGAGCTATAACCGTTACCATAAGCCCCGTAGAACGACATAGTTCATGTAAGAACAAAAGGGATGAATGGATTGTGGAGAGGAGATGATGTTATTTGGGAAAATGGAGAAAGTGTACCTGATGCTTCATATTTCTACGTCTCTTCAGGCTGCTGTTGACAATAACTAAATACCTACAACAACATTATTACCATCAGCATTGAAAACTAAAATCAAATAAACAATATGTTTTGTAAAGATCGTTTTATTTATGCCAACTGTCAAGTAATGATTTTTAAACTTACAGGGCATGAAGAACCCTATTCTTACCTTGGAAGATGTCTAACCCTATTCTTACCTTGGAGTCGATGCCTATACAAAGAAAGGTTGGAAGATGTCGATGCCTCTAAACACTACAGGAGAAGATGCTCTGCTGCAATGGTTGATTTTAACCTAGATACAGTAAGAAATTAGAGCACGACAAAGGAGTTGGGGGTCGATTTTTTTCATTGCCAAAAACCTAAGTGTTATGAGATAGATTATGAGAGGTGCAAGATTAGTCTGGTTTTTAGGGTAATGAATAAGGTCGTGGTTTGTTGGTGGCGGCGAGGGAGAAGAAGATAGCTCCGACGAAGGTCAAAAATATGGATCAAGGAAGAAGGAAAGGGTAAGAAGACATCATCGTGAATGGCCAGCGGCTGTGTCTAGGGTTAGAGAGAGAAGAGGGAGAGAATGGCTCTGTGAGATTTTACGAGAGATAAGACGATCCAGAGGAGAGAGTGCAGAAGCGGGGTATTCAAAATTTCAGAATTGTAGAATTTTAGAGGATCCCTCTTTAAAAACTCGTGTTTAGTTAAAAAAAACATAAAGCGACATTTGTATATGACACACACTTAAAACAAGCGGCCTCCGTGTTTTTAATTAAGTTTTGCTTGACACTAATTTTAGGGCACGCACAAATGCGTGTCCTCTATTCTTCAAATGTTGGATATCTGACATTAATTTTTAGGGCACGCACAAATGCGCGTCCTCTATCAATGCGTGTCATTATTTAAGAGTCGTAAAAGGGTGTATTTCTAGTAGTGATTTTCATCAAAAACTCTCAGTTCATCAAGTAAACTCCTTTCTAGAAACGAAACGTTGCCCGAACCACCACCTATCAAGTGAGTTCATACCCCTGCGTTTTTACTATTTTTCACTATTTGGGGTGGGGGGGGGTGGGGGGGGGGGAGAGGGGGAGTGGGGACACAAGTCTAACACAAGAATATTGTGTTTACAAATAAATAATTATTAAATATTTTTCAAATGACTTTCATTGTTATATAAATTCTTATTAATTTATATATATATATATATATATATATATATATATATATATATATATATATATATATATATATATATATATATATGAATATAAAAGTTAATTCAATCAGATTAATATTTCATTTGTAACATTTTGAGCAAAGGGGATACTTTCATGAATATTACATATCAAACAAGAAAACATATATAAATTATAATAGGTATAATTTATGGAACTCTTAAACTATTATCACAAACTAATTATACAAAGTTTAACAGATTACTCTTGTACAAATACTTTACATTCAAGAATACTAGAGAAAGATCATTCTATCAGTTTATCATTTATTCACAAAACGACTTTTAATCATTTGTTATATATGTAATCGTCAATATGCTTTTTGTGAGACAATGTTTAGTTGCTTATTCATTTAGACAATACAGATAAAGTCCTGATATTATAACCATAATCTCTGGATAGAGAGCGAGACAAATGTGTATAGATCTATACGGGATTGACAATCCCGCACTCAGACTGTTAACTACAGCCGGGTAGGCACGCCTATGAGTGACAAAGTCGTTAACAGTACTGACGCCTACAAAGCGTCATAGCAGGCAGTTAATCATAATATGGTTATAACAACTCACTAAAAAGATATGAGGAAATACGATTAGTATTAAAATGATTAAACCAAAGAGTACGAATACAAAGTACTGGTTTCACAATAATACGATTTACAGTATTACTTTACGATTACGGCTGGTGGAGCATGGTATACTCACTTTTATAGGATTTTCTTAGAGTACAATCATAAAACTTGGATAAACATAAACACTACAGAAAACATTCTTTTTATGGTTTTATGGTATTAAAATTACATTTTAGTTGCATCAGAAAATATAGAATTTTCTGGAACAATGAACACACTCTCTTTTTGAAGGATCAGTTATAAAACTTTTAAACATAAATACGTATGCACTCACTCAACTTCAATGTTGATACTCTCTTTTTCAAAATACTTGTATTTTCAGGGAACCAATAATCAGGTACCTTCCAAAGCTTTTGAAGACGGAGCAGTACAGAGTTGTGTCTTTTGTTTTATTATATGTATTTCGGTGTCAATATACAATGATTGAACACACATGTAAAACTATTATTTCTTTAATACAATAGTTGTTGTACTTTGATTACTATGAGCATGTGTTGTGATACTTAAATATGAAGTCATCCACCCCCGGACGTTTCCGCCGCTCCGGTTTGGGGGTGTGACACGAGGTGTAGTTTCTGGGGCACCTTGTCAACCAGAACGATATTTCGGTCGACCCGGCCAAGGTTGAGGCTGTGATGGGATGGTAGGTTCCAAAGTCTCCATCTGAGATTCAGAGTTTCCTTAGGTTGGCAGGTTACTATCGGAGGTTCATTCAGGATTTCTCCAAGATAGGAGTTCCTCTGAGTCGGTTGACGAAGAAGACTGACACTTTTTGTTGGGGCCTGAGCAGCAGGAAGCTTTTAAGACCCTGAGAAAGAGACAGTGTAAGGCACCGATTTTGACCCTGCCGGAGGGTGTCGAGGATTTCGTGGTTTATTGTGATGCGTTGAAATCACAGGTTTGGGTGCAATTTTAATGCAGATGGGTCATGTGATTGCTTACGCTTCGAGGCAGCTAAAGCCTCATGAGTCGAATTATCCGACACATGATTTAGAGCTGGGGGCAGTGGTTTTCACCCTCAAGATTTGGGGACATTACCTCTATGGGGTCCGGTGGCGATTCTTGACAGAAAGTTGAAAACCCTGAGGAACAAGGTGGTTGAGTTAGTAAAAGTTCAGAGGCAGCATTGCAAAGGGTCATAATGTATTTGG